TTTGCGCCAATAGAGTACAGTACAAGAAACACTCGGGGCATGTTTGTGATTGGTCCTTTAGATGAAAAAGTCTGTAAAATACTGTAATTGTTTGTACGTTTAGTATTTCTGCCTTGGACGTAATCAGCAAATGCACAACAATGCACGCACGGATAGTTTTTTACAGGATTTACGGTCTGGTCTAGCTGGCAGGTTTTCATTGGATAGAAATAAGGTGAGGGAGAGAAGATTAGGTGGGCAAGACCCCATCAGATTAGTTGGCAAATGCAAGCTTGACACTGAGCTTGAGATTGTTCGGTTCCTCTTTGCGCCAATCGAGTACAGTATAAGAAACACTCGGTGTCTGCTCGTAAACCTTATCGCCACCAAACTCCAAGGACCAAGCGGCACCCGGACGGCCGGAAACTGAGCTGCAGAGATGGCGTCGTTGGATTCTCCGCCGCCGGGGAAGCCCCCTCTGCCGTGGCGGGTGCGCCTGCTCGTGGGCGCAGCCTCATTCCTACACTCCGCGTCCCTCCGCGCCGACGGCACCGTCAACCGCTCCCTCCTCTCCCTGTTCGAACGCACCGTCCCTCCTAGCTCCGCGCCCGATGCCGCCGGCGTTTCGTCCACCGACCACGCCGTCTCCAGCCACCTCCGCGTCCGCCTGTTCGTTCCAGCGCCCGCCGCTAGCGGCAGCCAGAGCCAGCTGCCAGTGGTTGTATATTTCCACGGCGGCGGCTTCGTGTTCCACTCCGTGGCGACGGCCCAGTTCGACGCTCTGTGCCGCCGCCTCGCCGCGTCTATCCCGGCCGTCGTCGCCTCCGTGGACTACCGCCTCGCGCCCGAGCACCGCGCCCCTTCCGCTTACGACGACGCGGAGGCGGCGCTCCGCTGGGCACTCGCCGGCGCCGGGGGCGCCTTGCCGTCTCCCCCCACCGCCGTCTTTGTCGCCGGGGATAGCGCGGGCGGCAACGTCGCCCACCACGTCGCCGCGCGCCTGCAGGGCAGCGTGGCCGGGCTGGTCCTGCTGCAGCCGTTCTTCGGCGGCGAGGCGGCGACCGCGTCCGAGCAGCGGCTCCGCCACGCGCCGTTCGGGGCGCCGGAGCGGCTGGCGTGGCTGTGGCGCGCGTTCCTGCCGCCGGGCGCCACGCGGGACCACGAGTCGGCCAACGTGCCGGCCGCGATCCAGCGCGACGGTGCCGCCGCGGGGAGGTGGCGCGCGTTCCCGCCGACGCTGGTGTGCGTGGGCGGGTGGGACGTGCACCAGGACAGGCAAAGGGCGTACGCGCACGCGCTGCGAGCCGCCGGCGCCGAGGAGGTCCGTGTCGCGGAGTTCCCCGACGCCATCCACGCGTTCTACGTGTTCGACGGCTTCCCGGACAGCCAGAGGCTGCTGGCCGACGTGGCCGAGTTCGTGAACCGGCGGGCTGCCGAACACCTCGACGCGCCAGTGAACGACCAGTGTCCACTGTCCACTGGTTCGTAGTTGGTTTGCAGTTCAGTCAGTGTGACTGATTTTTTTTAGAATTTTTGGTAAAGTGTTGATTCTTCGAGCTGTGAGGTGTGTGACGACGGAACTTGAGGCACATGCGATGCACTGATGATGAACATGTCCGGTTCCTTGTGACTGATTGCGTTGCATGGCACGGTGTGGATCGTGTGAACGAGTTGTTCGTTGGTTCTAAAAAACAGGAAATTCGAGTGGACGCAAGCGTCGACAGCGCGATGAACGGCATTCATGGCGCAAACAGGGTCGTGTTTGGTCGTACGTATCGGCGTTCCTGTCACGGAGCAGGCGGCCAGGCACGAGAGGTTCCCGCCCATGCGACCCAGACCGTAATGGTGCGACGACGCGGACAGATCCACTGTACGTTGGCCCCCGATTTGGCGAGTGCCAGCATGGGCCGAGCATCTTGAGCAGTTGAGCTACCAGTCTCCGCTGGAATATCTGAAGAGAATGACACACCGCCCGCCGCGGCATATCCAGCCGGAGCATTCTCGGCGCCCGCGCTTCTGGCCGCCGCGCGCTGGCCCCGCGCCTTGTCGTGGGCGCGCGCCAGTGCACCGCCCCAGTGCCAGAGCGCGCGCCCGTGTCCCGGCAGGCCGGCACAGAGCACGCGTGTGCGCAGTGGCAGCACCGGCACGATGCTGTGTCCGTCCGTGGCTGTGCGATGAGCTGTTCTTCATTGTCAGGCATTCAGGATTTGAATCAACTTCAGATGCATCGAGAATTCAATATAGGATATACAGAAAGATCTCTGCTAAGTGGCTGTCATGAGTTCCTGTCGGGAGATAGCAGCTTGCTCAAGCACCGGAAAAGGAGGCCGACATTTATTCTCAACTTTAGTCCTCCTTTGGTTTGGAGGAATTTTATAGGAATTTTAGAGGATATGATTTTTATAGAATTTTTTGCTTTAGAGTTCTTTGGTTCGTAGGAATAGATTTTTATTCCTACATAGGATTGGTTCCTATCCTACGTATTTCATAGGAAAATAAAAATGAGCCTAGACTCAATGGAAAAATTCTTTGGTGTCAATCAAATGACATCTCGTTTTCTATTCCTACTCATAGGATTTGAGATACATGACCATCTTATTTCCTACAAAATTCCTATTCCTATAATATTCTTATCCTATGAACCAAAAGAGGCCTGGGTAGCCGGGGCTTCCGGCCGGAGACATTTGCCTTTCCAACGATACGAGGGCCCAGACCAGCTTTACGCCTCCAAAGGTGAGAGACGCCAGCGGCCTCCTTCCATGATGACCCCTTTCTCTGATGAAAAGCTCGTCGTGTTCTCCCCCCGAACATTTAGAAACATTATAGTTGTGCACCCTAGGAGCTCTCTCAGGCCATTACTGATTTTGGCCGTCGAATTGCACATCGTGATCATTCTTGGGCGTCCGATGTGCTTCTTGTTCCGGTGGTGTGGGCCGCTATTCCTGGCACAAAATCGGAGGCCCCTCCTTTGCTGGTAGAGTTAACATCCGATCCCCAAAGAACGGTACAGATACGCCCCCGTCCTCTCCCCTTCCCTCCCCTCCCCTCCCTTTACCCTACGTCTCAACCCCACCTCTCCCAATTTCACCGCTGCTGCCGTCACCGCAAGAGAGAGATGGATATAGGCTACCAAATGATGAGGGCACGACCTCGGACGTGCCGCTGATTTGGCCCGATCTTTTACGATGCAATAACCTCCAAGATCCACCGATAAAAATTACTCCCAATTACACGAGCAGTACGTGTAACCTGAAGTAGGGGTAACGACGACCAACGGACAATCCCTCGACACACGAGCAACCTCCCGCCGAAGTAGACGTAACCAGCACGCAACCCGTCGGGAACGACAGACCTCGAGCCAAGTGCAACTTTCACGCAGAAAAATCACACAAAATAAATAACAACGACACCCGAAGAGGGTCGCTTAATATTCGATACACATGTTGTCTAACCTGTAAAAAAATAACCTCCTCCCTAAGACTCACGTATACTAGCATATATATAGGCAATGATACAAAACGCCTTCAAGGAAAGGTCGGCCAGAATCAGGCTCGCAGGCCCACCTATTCATGTACGTGATCTCCACGTTTCTTCTTTCTCCATACCAAAGTTGTTGTGTTTATCTGCTTCTTAATTTTTATTGCAGCTGTTTTTCTCTCTCTTTCCATAACCAACGCCGCCGGTTCCTTCCTAGAAAACAAATCTTTATTGTATTGGTAACAATCTCCTGATATACTGAACGTACGTGGTTGGATCTCTTCTATAGTTCTCTTGAACGGTTGACCAAACCTGGTTTCATCGTTGCATGACATTAGTTTATTTGAACCTTGCACACATCTCTTCCAGCCCGTGTCTTTCTCTGGTCCATGACCGTAATAACGTAGATGTGTAGGTCGCCAGCCAGCAGCTTGGCTCCGTGTAGTCAAATTAGCAGTGTGACCAAACGCAGGTTGCCGAAAGGTCGCACAACCATGCATAGGTTCTCTTGGCGAAGGCGTGCCATCATAACTAGGTCCACATAAAATACGAAGATTTCCATCTATTCCCTTGCTGAGTTGCATCAAATTATTTACCTCGACATTGTTTGTTTGCACTCCTTTGTTGATAATCATCGTACATGTTGTACTAGTATCAACAACTAAATTTACTCGTACACTAGGCGTATTACATGCCGCATCATCCTCCTTCCCTTGAATCAAAACCGTCCTCGGTTTCTGTGAATTGTCTCTAATTGGTTCCTGTGAGTTGTCTCTAATGAGTTTCTTGCTTGTAGTAATCTCCGCTTTAAGCACGCTAGTGTGTGTCGCATAATCCTCCCCCTCTTGAAACGAGACCATCCTCGGTCTCGGCGTCTGGCGTGTTTTCTCCTTGCACACACTTAGCACCATGTTTGAGTGAATGGCTTTATCTTCCATCGGCTTCAACACACGCTGCTTTCCCTCATGAACAAAAGTATATGTATTTGTTCTCCCAGCATGCATTGCATTGTGGTCATACTGCCATGGTCGTCCTAGCAACAAACCACACACATCCATAGGAAGAACGTCGCACTCAACAACATCAATATATTGTCCAACTGAAAATGGCACATGCACCTTATGTGTAATTTTGAGTTGCCCACAATTATTCAACCACTCCAAATGATATGGTTTTTCATATCGCCAGGTGGATAGCCCAAGTGATTCCACTAATGTTCTGCTAATTCCATTAGTGCAACTACCGCTGTCGATAATCAACTTGCATGCAGTGCCCTTGATATCACATTGAGTCTGAAACAAACTCCTACGCTGTCAACGGTCATACTATCACTATTCTGTACCCACTTGAGTTGCATGTTCAGCCAACTCATTGGTACGATTACTTCCTCTTCATTCTCCTTGTGAGCAGAAATATTTTCAAGTACAACAGTACCTCCCCCAACCTTTTTCTTTGCTAGCAACATCTTCTCTTCATGTTTCTTTGCATCAATTGTAGCATGTGCATGGTCTCGCCTTTTACGATCCTCCAAATATTGTTCAGAAGAGTATGTTTCAAAACGAATCCACCGACCATTATGAATAAACTGAAACTTCCTCCAAGAAAAGGTGCTCGATTTATCCGTCTGCATATCCCTCTTTTTTATCCATGGCTTACCCAAAATCAAAGAACACGCATACATATGATATGGAAGAACATCACATAAAACCGAATCAGTAAATCCACAAAATCCAAGAGGCACCTCAACTTGATGTTTTATTAGCACAAATTTTCCCTGCCATGCGAGCTTATATGGATCTGGATGCTCTATCGTCACTAGCTTCAATGCATCAACCAAAGTTTGACTCACCAAATTTATTTGGGAAGAACGATCTATCATCATGGCGCAAGAAATTTTTCCTACCTTCACCCTAGTGTAGATCTGAAACCAAGAAAGGGCACGGGACGGATCCTTCTCAGTGTGTGACATCTCGCCATCAAAGTAGCGCTCCGTCCTCATTGCAGGAGTAGAATACGTACCAACAAATTATGGGAACAAATTGCACCGTAATAAACCCAGTAATCTGATACCAACTGATGAGGGCACGACCTCGGACGTGCCGCTGATTTGGCCCGATCTTTTACGATGCAATAACCTCCAAGATCCACCGATAAAAATTAATCCCAATTACACGAGCAATACGTGTAACCTGAAGTAGGGGTAACGACGACCAACGGACAATCCCTCGACACACGAGCAACCTCCCGCCGAAGTAGACGTAACCAGCACGCAACCCGTCGGGAACGACAGACCTCGAGCCAAGTGCAACTTTCACGCAGAAAAATCACACAAAATAAATAACAACGACACCCGAAGAGGGTCGCTTAATATTCGATACACATGTTGTCTAACCTGTAAAAAAATAACCTCCTCCCTAAGACTCACGTATACTAGCATATATATAGGCAATGATACAAAACGCCTTCAAGGAAAGGTCGGCCAGAATCAGGCTCGCAGGCCCACCTATTCATGTACGTGATCTCCACGTTTCTTCTTTCTCCATACCAAAGTTGTTGTGTTTATCTGCTTCTTAATTTTTATTGCAGCTGTTTTTCTCTCTCTTTCCATAACCAACGCCGCCGGTTCCTTCCTAGAAAACAAATCTTTATTGTATTGGTAACAATCTCCTGATATACTGAACGTACGTGGTTGGATCTCTTCTATAGTTCTCTTGAACGGTTGACCAAACCTGGTTTCATCGTTGCATGACATTAGTTTATTTGAACCTTGCACACATCTCTTCCAGCCCGTGTCTTTCTCTGGTCCATGACCGTAATAACGTAGATGTGTAGGTCGCCAGCCAGCAGCTTGGCTCCGTGTAGTCAAATTAGCAGTGTGACCAAACGCAGGTTGCCGAAAGGTCGCACAACCATGCATAGGTTCTCTTGGCGAAGGCGTGCCATCATAACTAGGTCCACATAAAATACGAAGATTTCCATCTATTCCCTTGCTGAGTTGCATCAAATTATTTA